GGATCGGAAATTAAAAATTTTTTTTTGCTTTATATATATATATATATATATATATATATATATTGCTTTTGGTTTACGACATTATCTCTTGGCTGTTCACAAACAACTTAGTATATGTAGAGTTTTGTATTAACTCATTTTGAGCACTTTCACCACTAGTTACACTTTCACTATATATTTTACTCCACTTTTATTCACTTTTTCTTATCTATTCTCCATCTTCTCTTAGCTCCGAAAGTTGACTGAACTCTCGACACACTGCCACCTTTTTATGTTATGTTCAGCCCTTTTTAACGTCCCACTGCTCGGCACGGGCCTCCCTTTGATACGGGGGGATCAGGCCATAGTCCACCACGCTAGCCAAGTGCGGGTTGGCGGACTTCACATGTCTTTTAAAACTTGCTAGGTTTTCTCAGACATGCAGGTTTCCTAACGATGTTTTCATATGCACAATCAAAAAACATACTAGTATTCGAAAACTTTTGGAGTGTAATTTCAATTCCTTTATGGAAATTGTTTAGTTCCTTTCTTACTCGCGGTGATTTTCAATTAACTGTTCTTGTCGTTACTTGTCATGTGTTGACGACTGTCTTGGGATGAATAAAGCATGCTCCAGACGTGTAATAACGGTAGGGCATAAAGACGTTACACACTCTCTTCTACGCGACAATATAGTATAAGTGACCCGAGTACCCATTGAAAAGTAACTTTTTGCGTACCAAGGGAACTCTTTACTCACTGTAGACACGCTTTACTCACGCTCATAGACTAAAAATCTCTTTGCCAAACAATGACAATATTCTGTCAGAAAGCCAATACTTTTTGTCGAATTTATTCTATTTGTATCTAAGCATAATCTTCCTCTCTCTCACTCTCCGTTTCTTGTAGGTTTTTGTTCAATGCGATAATCGAACCCACGATCTCGGTGCAGTAGATAGTACGACGTACATACGAATGCTCCTCATGGTCTGAAAAGGTCCAATCTTAAATGTGAGGTAAAAAATGGTTCCTGACTGATTGAATCATGAAAATACTGTAAAATATCAATTTAACATGACCTAAAGGTTCGGAAATATAAACGTAAAATTTTAAAAACATGTAGCGTAGAGGGCGATAAAGAGTACTACGAAAAGAGTTTTCTAAATTCAATTTGTAAAGGGTGGAAATGAGGTGTAAAATTGTGTATGTAAAATTTTATTTCTTTATTTAACAGTATGTTTTAAAATCCGATTTATATCAAAAGCCAGTTATATTGCAGAATAGGTATGTTAGTTACGAATGATTGAAGCTGCAAAAATGAAATAGCCAGAATATAGAAATATTTAAAGTATATTTTGACGCAGCTATCATATTTTATTTGTCCATGTCATTACTTCTTCTTGTTACTTATATTATGAAAATGTATAAAAGAAGATTAGATATTACATTATTATTAAAATATAAGGGTGTTGTTCTTGTTCTGTCAATTATTCAATAAAAGTCAATTTTAATTTTACCTTTATTTCAGATAGGAAAATTGTATATATATATATATCCTTTATACAATAAAATATGTATCTAAATTCATATCAGTTTGTAAATACGAAAATATTAAATAAGTAAATTAATAAAAAGTTAACAAGATAATCATAATAAAAGTTATGAAAGTCGTTCATTTCGCCCAATTACTCTATATTTTCTTTACAGCAATTTCATGGAAGCTTTGCCAAATATCTATACGAGCCGCCTTTTATAAAGTGTAAATAATCTTTTATAGTATTTAAAAATGAAATTTTAATACATTATTTCATATAAAATAGTCAAGTTATATTTAATCTTCTGTTCTCACTGAATAGTAAATTTCAATCAATAAGCATTAATACCTCCACGACCACGGACACGCCGGCGTTACAGTTAACAATAGATTTCTTAGAAACTTAATTAATTTCTCAGAAATTTACCTGGAGATGTTAATCTTGTGAACTAACTGATTATATACGGAATAAAACTATTGTTTTTTTAATAGAAATCAAATAGTATTGGTTGACAAGCCGCCAGTCTGGACACACGCCAGGCCCACGGTACACTGCTTCTTTTTATGTACGCAACAAATTCTATGTCCAAAATGTACTCAGTTTTAATTTAACCATTTTGGCACATCCCGACGGAACTGCGGATCATTTGTATCAAGAATACAAATAATATGATCCAAGGCAGCGACCAAATTACTCGTAATTCCTCAGAGGGTTAGCCGTTTTAGCAATTTATTTTAAGTTGAATATAAAGTGGGAATGAAATAATTATAAGATTATTGCCTTTGTTGACTATAAATAAGTATTATTTCGCAAAAGAGATAGTTTTTTCGTTTATTTTTTAAGGAATAATTTAAAAAAATATATTATTGTTTTAATTTTTTAATGAAATATATAAAATTTATATTTTATGTATTATAATACTTAAATAAATATTATTATATACAAATAAAAACAAGTAAATATGAACATACATAACTTCCGAAAAAGCGAGCAACGCCACACAATTTAACTTGTATATACATAACTATATGTGTGTATATTAAATTATAATATTATCATTATACATAATTTCTAATTAAAAAATGTAGTCTAAGTTTAATCTGCCATTTTACTTGCCTCGAGGGACGCTCTCGCAGCAATCTATTACCGAACGTCACCGAAGGCGACAAGGCTCGTCTGAATATGTATGGGCGATGAATGAAAAATCGATTTTTACAGATTATTCAACAGAGAGACTCATTAGACTACAGATTAGGCATTGCGCAATTTAATTCCAGTTTATTGTTAAGGAATTGGCAAAGATGAATGATTGAAGGTAAAATATAATTTTAATATCTATATTCTATACATATAATAAAATTCTGAGTCAAATCTGTAAAATTAAGTATATTTTGGAAAATCTAATATATAATAGATAATAATTACTATTTCAATGAAATAGTAATTATTAACGATACAGAGGCCGACTCTATAGTTTTTTGAATTTTTGCCTGTCTGTCTGTCTGTCTGGGAACGCATCACGAGAAAACCCCTTGACAGATTTTGATGAAATTTAGTATGATGATAGATGGTTATTTGGGTCAACACATAGGATACTTTTCACTGCGGGAAAATGTCTCATCTCTAAGAAATCTATACTAAAAGTTAAAGCGTAACTAGGGACGAACTCGAGCAGAGCGAGGGTGAGTCGCTAGTCTAAAATATAACAAGTATTTACTAGGTAATTTTTGAATGATATGTAAAAGCACGCAGAAAAGTCTTATATAATAATTTAAATTTGGCCCAATTGTTACACGATCAGAGAATTCTTATAATATAAAGTTTTTTTCAAAGGTAAACCACAAGCTTAATATTACACAACCTACAATCTTTAAACAATATTTAAATAACGTAATCATTCTGTAGATGAAGAATAAACCAATTTAAAACAAAAAAGGTAGTTGTCTAGATTGTTTCTTTGACGGAAAACTGGTATAAATCATTGTTTTTTTTTTTAATATACATTATACCTAATATATATTGATATCATTTGCATATATTTATATAGAAATTGTTATTGTTCAAGCTTCCAAGAATTACGGCTTAAACTGATTTGTGTCTTCCTCAATATATTCTTCATATTTTTTCGTAATTTCAAGCCGTCACAGAACGAAACGTTGACATGGATGTATGAAATATGTAAGCATGGATATGTCAATCTGAATATTTTAAGAAGTATTTGTTAGCCTTGATAAATTAACATCCATGTATGTACCGATTGGTTATTTTGACACAGATATAGAAAAATTTATACGCATGTATTGATACGCATATCGACGGCGAAGTGCCAATACCTCCTAACTAAACTTTTTCGAGAAATTCACTTCTTTATCTTTTTGAATTTAAAGGCGCTATTCAATTGTTTTATTCAAATACTAGCGGACCCGATAGACGTTGTCCTGTCTACACGTCTTTATATCTATTTTTTTGATGAAAATTATTATTCAAATTGTGAATCTAAACCATTCCCAGATCCCCTTGAATACACACAAAAAATTTCATCAAAATCGGTCCAGTCGTTTGAGAGAAGTTCAGTGACATACACACTCACAGAAGAATTATATATATAAAGATATTAACATATCGTAAAAATTAAAGCATAAGTCAGTATTATCCTCCATGAATAAATATATTTCCTGATTTTGAACTTGTCAAGGAGTTAAATGTCTTTTTCAGTTTGTGTAAATTCTCACTATGACACTTAGGATTTATTGATACTTCGCCGTTGATATGCCGATGTGCATGATCGATGATAGATCAGGATGTAGGCGTTTAGAACACATATTATGATATTATTAATTTAATAATGATATAAAATATTATTGAATAATGAATATTTAATAAATTAATTATTGAATATGTTTATTAAAAATATTGTTAAATAAAAAATAAATTTTGTAATAACTAGAAAGGAGAAAGATGAAATGGGCCCAAGCATTACACGAACCAGACAAATGATTTTTTTGTCAATATTAGTAAACTGATAGGTATCAAGAAAATATTATAATAGTATGGATAAGTAATAAACGAAGCAAAAGTTATGCAGAAAATTTTAGGCCCAAGTTTAAGCGAAATTTCGCCCGTCTCCTTAAAATTACAAGTAAGTTTTAATAAAATAATGCACCACGCTATAACATAATCTATTTACCACTTTTAATCAATAGTTGTAGTTATATGACGTTTTTTCATTCTTCAGATATAATTAACCAGGTAGTCCTTTTATCCAACAAGGCAACTTCGCATATTTTAGAGTATCTATTTATCTCCAGATTAATAAAAATAAAAAAGAATTTTAGAGGGTAGCCGTACCTGCCATATTTACGTCTACCTCCGTAATGCGCTCTGTTCATGTCTCATTCTTTTTTCTTGCGAGGCAACGTTCGCACGCGCTCAACTATTAACAGTAATAAGTGTTTAAGAAAACTAGTAAAGGAGTACATATTCATAATGCCGAAGAGAACTAAGGGTGAAAAACTTAAATATTACACAGAGAAAATTAGAAAGCTAAACGAAATAAATAATCGAAGGAGTATACGTCGTAGAATTATACAGTCTGAGTCATCAGATGAAAATTCAGGTAAGTGACAGTAAGGTTACTGTTACGCAATATAAGTGTGACTGCGAGTCAATATATTTATACGCATACATAATATTATGTATTTTTTTTCCTGAGTTTAGCCGAGAGTTAAACAAAGGAATACGTTCTTGAATATTGGCCGAGAGTCAAATGTCAAGACGTAACAAACATGTTAAAACATGTTTTATTTGTATTGCAGATGTCGAAACGCAATCGCAATATAACCAAAACGAGGGTAGTTTACCACGCGCTGTATTAATAGACGACGAGATAATGGAACGTGATATTAGGATGGAAGCTGTAGATACTCCCCAGGTTGAAACGGGGACTCCAGAGGTTGCATCGCATCCAGAACTAACGTTCGAATACTTGCAAGCTCTCGGGGACGCCGTCGATGAGGTGCCGCAATATGGAGAGGAAATCCATAGTAACTTAGCGCAAAGGTGGCTGCCATTACTGCGTAAGGGCTTGCCAAAGGATACACGAGATGTTATATTTAAGCCGTATATAATACCAAGTAATTGTAAATTATTAAAGGCGCCTTCGTTAAACGCTGAAATATCGGCTGCTATTACTGAATCACTTAAAACACGAGATAAAAAATTTGAAAATTGTCAACAACAATTAGGTATAGGTATTACTGCCATTAACAGGGCATTGACGTTATTACTAACCGGTGGTGATCAAATACAGTCAATAAAGATATTGTCAGATGCATCTCGTATTTTATGTGATTTACACTATCAAAATACAGAAACTAGGATTAGATTATTAACACCTAGTTTGGATAAATCTTTGTTAAACGTTATCGAAAATAATCATGATGAGACGCTTTTCGGTGCCAACCTATCAGAAAAAATTAAAGCGGCAAAAATTATAGAAAAACAAGGGCTTTCTATCAAGAAAAACGTTCCTGTTACGAAACCATCTACATCCTTTTTACGACCGCGGCCGGGAAACTGGACAGGCCCTCCCCGCTTCCCGTCGAACAGGGGGGGACGTACAGCACCGCGGGCGGCGACGATGACGTCAGTGGCGCGACGGGCATTGGCGGGGAACACACCACAACCGCCGTCGCAAGCTCGCTTCAGCCATCCAAACAGACAACGTGCCTTTCCGACGCATCGACGTTAACACAGGTACACGCAGGCCGTTTACAGTTATTTTATAATTGTTGGTTATCGATTACAGATAACTCGGTCATTTTAAAATGGATTCGCGAAGGGATTTCTATACCACTTGCCTGTCGGGTATTCCAAGGTTCCCCTCCAACATATACGTTAAATAAATCAGAACAAGAAAGTATGCAATTAGAGATTGACAAATTACTAAGCTTAGGAGCTATATCTGTATGTTCTCCAGTTTCGGGTCAGTATATTTCAAAAATATTCTTGGCACCAAAACCTAATGGACAAAAGAGGTTTATTTTGAATTTAAAGTCTTTTAATAAATATATATATAAATCTCATTTTAAGATGGAAGACCATAGAACAGCAACGAAGTTAATAATGGAAGGAGCGTTTCTAGCAACAATAGACTTAAAAGAATCGTATCTTTTAGTACCGGTAGCACACAATTATCGTAAATTTTTAAGATTTAATTTTAAAAATTCTAATTTAAAACAATTCACCTATGAATTCAATGGTATGCCTTACGGTTTGTCTGTGGCGCCAAGAATATTTACAAAAATAATGAAGGAAGTAGTGAAGTACTTAAGAAATCTAGGATTCATATCCGTTATTTACTTAGATGATATACTGTGTATCGGCAGTAATTACGATAATTGTTTAAAAAATGTACAGACAACATTACGAGTTTTAGAATGTTTAGGCTTTGTTGTAAACTATGAAAAGAGTTGTATCGAACCGAAACAAAATTGTAAATTTTTAGGTTTCATATTTAACACTATAGATATGCGTATCTCTTTGCCTATGGATAAACGAAATAGTATAGCACAGTTAGTCGATAAATATTTACAGTTACCAAATTGTAGTATTCGTGAGTTTGCGCAATTTATTGGAACCCTTACTGCAGCTTGTCCAGCAGTTAAATATGGCTGGTTGTATACAAAATTATTCGAGAGACAAAAATTTCTAGCTCTAAAGAATAGTCACGACTATGAAGCTAAAATTAAACTTTCTACAGTCATTTTATCAGACTTACTATGGTGGAAATATAACATATATCGAACGGATCATTACATGAGAAATCAAAATTTTAATTTAGAAATTTTTTCAGATGCTTCTCGAACTGGCTGGGGCATTTTTTGTAACAGTCAAAGAACAAACGGTCTTTGGAAGGATAGTGAAAAAATATATCATATTAATTACTTAGAATTGCTGGCGGCCTTCTTTGGTTTAAAATGTTTTGCTAAAACTAAGACTAATTGTGCTATATTATTACGTGTTGACAATACAACCGCTGTCAGTTATATTAATCGCTTTGGCGGAATACAATATCCGCATTTAAACAAATTAACTAGGCTGATTTGGCAATGGTGCGAGAAGCGCAATTTGTGGTTATTTGCTTCTTATATAAATACTAAGGATAATATAGAAGCAGACGAAGAGTCTAGAAGACAAAATCAAGATATAGAATTCGAACTTAGCCGTAATTGTTTTAAGAAGATAGTTGAAAGATTCGGGCACCCACAAATAGACTTATTTGCTTCTCGTACCAATACCAAGTGTAAAAGCTATATATCTTGGAAACCAGATCCAGATGCTGTGAATGTCGATGCTTTTACAATTAATTGGAAACCATTTTTCTTTTATGCTTTTCCACCTTTTCCAATAGTTTTAAAATGTTTAGAAAAAGTCATTTCTGATAATGCAAGGGGAATTCTAGTATTCCCTTATTGGCCTTCACAGCCTTGGTTCCCTTTATTATTAAAATTAAAGGAATCAGATATTTTCATTATAAATAATGGCCTTTATATTAGGTCGCAAGAGCAAGGACAACGCCCCTCTCCTACCCTGGGAGCAGCGATACTTTGCGGCTCGCATTCTCCAGGCGTGGTGTGCCCGACCAAGCACTAGATCTAATCTGCGCTTCACTATCTGCAAATACGATTCGTCAGTATAGCGTAACATTTAAAGTTTGGTGGGAGTTTTGTATTCTAAATAAGTTTAATCCTCTGGAACCTTCAGTTCATGCTGTTATATCATTTATAACACATCAATATAACCGGGGAGATTCCTATGGATCTATTAGTACTCATCGATCAGCGTTGTCCTTACTGCTAGGGCATGACGTAGGTACAGATGATCGTATTTCAAGAATATTAAAAGGTGTGTACAAGTTAAGGCCCAGTGTACCTAAATATAAAAACACTTGGGATCCACAAGTCGTTTTAAGTAAATTAGAGACGTGGTATCCTAATTCTGAACTTAGTTTAGAAAAACTTACGAAAAAACTTGTAATGCTCCTAGCTTTGTGTACTGCACATAGGTTGCAAACATTTTCTTTGATAAAAATTAATAATATAAAATGTTTTGCGAGTGTAATTAAAATTTATATAATTGATATTATTAAAACATCAAGACCTGGTAAAGATCAGCCAATTTTAAGCTTGCCTTTCTTTTTAGAAAATCCAAGTATATGCCCAGCTAAAACATTACAGGAGTATATTGCTAAAACAATAAATTTAAGACCTAGTAATGTAGAAAATTTATTGATTACTTTCAAACGACCTCATAAAGCTGCCACTGCCCAAACTATAGGTCGCTGGCTAAAACACACAATGGGGGAATGCGGGGTGGATGTGGCGGTGTTCAGCGCGCACAGCACGCGACACGCCGCCACCTCCGCCGCACACTCCTCCGGCGTCTCTATTGACGTGATACGTAAGACAGCCGGTTGGACTGCTACATCTCAAACATTTGCTAGATTTTATCAACGACCTGTAGAGGAACGGGACAGCTTTGCGAGGTCTGTCTTTTTTTCTTAGACTTATTTCATGTATGATATTCATTATAATCACTTGAATAAAACATTTCTAATTTCATTATAAGTTTTATTTTTATAATAGCAAAACTTATTAGTATTATCTATAAACATCTACCTGGTTAATTATATCTGAAGAATGAAAAAACGTCATATAATAAACGATCAAACGAACTTACCAAGTGAAGTTCGATCATTATTATATTAGTTTTTTCATTCGAAGATATAAATACCCACCCACCCATAACCCTAAAGTTTTGCTGCGTTACATACTATAAAAAGAATGAGACATGAACAGAGCGCATTACGGAGGTAGACGTAAATATGGCAGGTACGGCTACCCTCTAAAATTCTTTTTTATTTTTATTAATCTGGAGATAAATAGATACTCTAAAATATGCGAAGTTGCCTTGTTGGATAAAAGGACTACCTGGTTAATTATATCTTCGAATGAAAAAACTAATATAATAATGATCGAACTTCACTTGGTAAGTTCGTTTGATCGTTTAATATATAATACATCAAATACAAGAAAAGTTCGTATGTAAAAATTATTTATTTTTTAACTTTTTTCAATCATTACTATCTTATCGAATAAAAATCAAGTTATATGAATATAATATAATAAACGATCAAACGAACTTACCAAGTGAAGTTCGATCATTATTATATTAGTTTTTTCATTCGAAGATATAATTAACCAGGTAGTCCTTTTATCCAACAAGGCAACTTCGCATATTTTAGAGTATCTATTTATCTCCAGATTAATAAAAATAAAAAAGAATTTTAGAGGGTAGCCGTACCTGCCATATTTACGTCTACCTCCGTAATGCGCTCTGTTCATGTCTCATTCTTTTTATAGTATGTAACGCAGCAAAACTTTAGGGTTATGGGTGGGTGGGTATTTATATCTTCGAATGAAAAAACTAATATAATAATGATCGAACTTCACTTGGTAAGTTCGTTTGATCGTTTATTATATGACGTTTTTTCATTCTTCAGATATAATTAACCAGGTAGATGTTTATAGATAATACTAATAAGTTTTGCTATTATAAAAATAAAACTTATAATGAAATTAGAAATGTTTTATTCAAGTGATTATAATGAATATCATACATGAAATAAGTCTAAGAAAAAAAGACAGACCTCGCAAAGCTGTCCCGTTCCTCTACAGGTCGTTGATAAAATCTAGCAAATGTTTGAGATGTAGCAGTCCAACCGGCTGTCTTACGTATCACGTCAATAGAGACGCCGGAGGAGTGTGCGGCGGAGGTGGCGGCGTGTCGCGTGCTGTGCGCGCTGAACACCGCCACATCCACCCCGCATTCCCCCATTGTGTGTTTTAGCCAGCGACCTATAGTTTGGGCAGTGGCAGCTTTATGAGGTCGTTTGAAAGTAATCAATAAATTTTCTACATTACTAGGTCTTAAATTTATTGTTTTAGCAATATACTCCTGTAATGTTTTAGCTGGGCATATACTTGGATTTTCTAAAAAGAAAGGCAAGCTTAAAATTGGCTGATCTTTACCAGGTCTTGATGTTTTAATAATATCAATTATATAAATTTTAATTACACTCGCAAAACATTTTATATTATTAATTTTTATCAAAGAAAATGTTTGCAACCTATGTGCAGTACACAAAGCTAGGAGCATTACAAGTTTTTTCGTAAGTTTTTCTAAACTAAGTTCAGAATTAGGATACCACGTCTCTAATTTACTTAAAACGACTTGTGGATCCCAAGTGTTTTTATATTTAGGTACACTGGGCCTTAACTTGTACACACCTTTTAATATTCTTGAAATACGATCATCTGTACCTACGTCATGCCCTAGCAGTAAGGACAACGCTGATCGATGAGTACTAATAGATCCATAGGAATCTCCCCGGTTATATTGATGTGTTATAAATGATATAACAGCATGAACTGAAGGTTCCAGAGGATTAAACTTATTTAGAATACAAAACTCCCACCAAACTTTAAATGTTACGCTATACTGACGAATCGTATTTGCAGATAGTGAAGCGCAGATTAGATCTAGTGCTTGGTCGGGCACACCACGCCTGGAGAATGCGAGCCGCAAAGTATCGCTGCTCCCAGGGTAGGAGAGGGGCGTTGTCCTTGCTCTTGCGACCTAATATAAAGGCCATTATTTATAATGAAAATATCTGATTCCTTTAAT